ATTTTGTTTAAAATTCAAACAAGTTCATTATTCTTTCAAAAACAGTAAAAGACAATGGTGAATAACTTTTGGTTTTGTAATTATATTTTACAACATAACGTCATTGTAACAAGAACACATATTTAGTAGTAATATGCTAAAAAAAAACTTAGCCTATACTCGAGCGTATAAATGGGAATGTATAGTCTGTACAGTGTAGAGTGGTCCAATAATTACAAAGAACCTTTACGAGTAAATTACACCAAGTACTTCATATATTTTTTGTGGATTTGCGGATTTTTTAAGGATTTTGAAGGATTTCTGTGGATTTTTGAAGGATTTCTGTGGTTTTTAAAGGATTTTTTGGATTTTGATGGATTCAACGGATTTTGAGGATTACATGGATTTTTTCTGGATTTTTTCCGGATTTTTTGACGAAGTGTACGGGATTTTTGGAGTGAAATGTCCCTCGGGAGTATTGACGTTCTTTTGAAAGTGTTTAGTCATTAGCGACGTAAGTAAGTTCTTTCTAAAGTGATTAGCGACTGACCACTGTATTCAAGTGAAAGAGGAGCAAGATAAAGCAGTTCGGGACCTTTTAAAAGGAAAAGATGTTTTTGCTGTATTACTAACAGGTTATGGCAAATGTTTGATTTACCAAGCTTTCGTACGAGCGCGTGATTATCAAACGTCAGGGAAAGCAGCTATTATTACAATAAATATCCCCATTGAATAGCATTTATATTAAAGACCAGCTAAAAGATATGGAACGGCAATGTTTCTCGTCCGTGGATGCTTAAATCATTATAATTACTATAATCACTATAGTCTAGACGCTATAATCGCTTTCAACTTAGCCTATTCGCTATGAATTGATTGAGAAAGTTGCTTCGAGTTGCTGTCGTTATTATTAACAACCTGTCCTGCGATGGGGAATCTCGTTCTTCTGTGTCGAGGAAAAGACTTTCTAAATTCTAGTACTAGATTTGACACACACATTTAATTTCTTTCTTTCTTTACACTTTCGTTGTGTGATTGATTTGACACACACATTTAATTTCTTTCTTTACACTTTCGTTGTGTGATTTCTTGGCAACGTACTGCCGTTTGCTTCTCTCGCTCAGATCGTCTGAAACCGTATCGTTTTGTTCTTTAATTATTTATATAGTTCAGCAGCGTTCCTTATTTTCCTTACAAGGTTTACACACTCGATCCCATTCGATTCAACTATGGACTCGCACGCGTTCGCTAAAATCAAATTCTGACTGTCTTGTCTGTCTGTCTGACGGCTTAAACAAATTTTCAAAGGACGACTTAAACAAATTTTCAAAGGAAGGCTCACTTTCACATACCGGTACTGCTTTTAGATTGCTGTTGCAAAACCTGCATGTATCGTTAGCGCTTGCCTATTTCGCTTTTCTACCTGCTTTTTTACAATTTTTTTTGGTGTTAATTAACATAGAAACATACTTTATAGTATACACGCGCATTAACTATGATTATGGATAGTGTTGTGAAACCGGATCTGTCACTGGCAAAATCATTAGTTGCGTCTAATCACTGATTGGCTGTTTTTAATGGGCGGGACTTGGGCAGATATGAGAAAACATATGGCTTTCCTGCAGGCGCTATTTCTTTCTCGCCCCTCCTATTTTTCCTCGCTCTCTTTCTCTCGCCTTCGCATCCCCCCTAGCTTCTCCCACCCTCGCCCTCCCCCCTAAATAGCGCCTGCTACGCAGGCTAAAATTCTAACAATATACGTTATTTCAATACTTTAGGGGTTTTGGCACACCCTGTATTCACTATCTTTGATTTCAACAAACGAAATTCGAGGCTGCATGTTTAAAATGTTTCGTTATAGCCAGTGTGGCCGGCTTTTTTATAAGTAGAGCCTGCCCGAAAGCCCTAGTAAAATTGATACCGCCTACTTAGTTAATATTCCATATTAACACCGCCCACTCGAAATAGTTTTGTATAAATGATGACTTGAAATGTCAGTTGTTGCATATTTTACAGAAGCCCAGAGGCGACAGCATAAAATTACTTTTGTATTTTACATTTTTGTATTTTATATTTTGTATTTTTGTGTTTTATATTTTGTATTTTTGTGTTTTATATTTTGTATTTTATATTTTGTATTTTTGTGTTTTATATTTTGTATTTTATATTTTTGTGTAATTATAATGTTCTTGGACGTGGGATTATAGGCATTTAGTGATACAAATTGTGATATTTAACAACAATACATATGTCAAACATGATTACAAGCTATAGAGACCTTGTATTTTGACTGCGCGAAATGCGTGTTACATACTGAACGCTTCTTTAAAGAGCATTATCGCGCGCATTACTAAGATACGCATACCGAATTCGCCATGCAGACATTAGCATTACTCCCGTAATAAGGCTCGGTTCAGACGTCGACATTTTCAAGCGCTTCATTTCTTACGGCACAACCGCACAAGTTCGGCAACTAATTTAGAGTTTAGACGCCGCTCTTCTAGATCTGTCGTACTTATAAATCGTTGTATTACGGGTTCGGCGCATGAGAAAGTTCGCCGTCTAAACCGAGAATAAGGCTGTCTGCATGGCGAATTCGGTATGCGTGATCTCAGTTATTGATATGCGCGCGATAATGCTCTTTAAACAAGCGTTCAGTATGTAACACGCATTTCACGCAGTAAAATACAATGTCTCTATAGCTTGTAATCATGTTTGACATATGCATTGTTGTATAAAAGTAAAAAGCTGAGCTGAAACATAATATAAACTAAGTAAAAATATAAAAGTGAAAATATAAAAGTGAAAATATAAAAGTGAAAATATAAAAGTGAAAATATAAAAGTGAAAATATAAAAGTGAAAATATAAAAGTGAAAATATAAAAGTGAAAATATAAAAGTGAAAATATAAAAGTAAAGTTAGAGATGAGCGTCTAAGCAGGAAGACCACCTGGGGCTATGGTATGTGAGACTGTAGATAAAAGGCGGGCGGACGACGGACAACGGACGACGGAGCATTTTATAAACACATAGAATTTAATTGGAATTTAATTTAATCAGCATTCAATATGTATGTATGATAGGAGGCTATTTGCCGTCTTTCGCGTGAAACTTTTGGAAATATTGTTAAAAAGCGCCTTAGTTTTGGTGCTTCTGTATATAACTGCCCTAACACTGCCATTGAATTAAAATATTATTAGGCGGGACTATTACATGACATTCACTTGCTGTCATTTTCATACTTCGCATTGCGCTGACCTAGCCTCCTCCGCAGGCATCGCCTTTCGATTATAGGGTAAAGCGCTGACCCATAGCCTATACTCAATACTTACTACCTATATGTGTCCACGAAATAAAACAATCGTTGAAGAGCCTTGAATGACAGAAAAATATCGAGCAGCATTAGGAGGTTTAAAAACTGATTATTGGGCTCAATGAAAATCCACCCCATCAAATGGTCCACCCCTAATACATAATATTTCTAAAATCCATATATAGAATAGTCGTCGCATGCAAATCGGCCATTTCTACGTGTGAACCTCGTAGGTTTATAATTAAAACGGAGATTATTTTCATTATAAAACAACAAGTCAGCACTATTTAAACTACGAAAATGTCAGCAAGTTAATGTCATCATCATTTAATTCTGCCAAGCAGAAGCTCCAAAACTAAGGCGCTTTTTTACAATATTTCCAAACGTTTAAGTTTCCCGAGAAAGACAGCGTATAGCCATCATACATAAGTATTAAATTAAATTCCATTGCTAAAAATTCGAACGGGTGAAAACATATTCCTTTCACAAATCTAAGGCTGGTAGCCTGGTATACTTTAATTTAGTGTATTATAATTAGTTGCGGTAGTAATCATGTGTTTATAAAATGCTCCGTCGTCCGTCGTCCGCCGTCCGCCCGCCTTTTATCTACAGCCTCACATATCATAGCCCCAGGTGGTCTTCCTGCTTAGACGCTCATCTCTAACTTTACTTTTATATTTTCACTTTTATATTTTCACTTTTATATTTTCACTTTTATATTTTTACTTTTATATTTTTACTTTTATATTTTCACTTGTATATTTTCACTTTTATATTTTCACTTTTATATTTTCATTTTTATATTTTCACTGTTTAACTTTTATATTTTAACTTTTACAGTTTTAGGCACAGCTTATTTAACAGTAAGAAAGTTTTTAGGCCATGCGTATAAAGACGGTTACATGCCCGAAAGCTGGATTCGGCTTTAGTGTGATACGCAGTAGAATTCTGGCCATGTCAACAGCCGACGATATCGTGTTTTTCGGTTGCAAGTCAGACATAAATAAAATGCTGAATCACATACCATAGCCCCAGGAGGTCTTCCTGCTTAGACGCTCATCTCCAACTTTAACTTTTATATTTTCACTTTTATATTTTCACTTTTATATTTTCACTTTTATATTTTCACTTTTATATTTTCACTTTTATATTTTCACTTTTATATTTTCACTTTTATATTTTCACTTTTATATTTTTACTTAGTTTATATTATGTTTCAGCTCAGCTTTTTACTTTTATACAACAATGCATATGTCAAACATGATTACAAGCTATAGAGACATTGTATTTTACTGCGTGAAATGCGTGTTACATACTGAACGCTTGTTTAAAGAGCATTATCGCGCGCATATCAATAACTGAGATCACGCATACCGAATTCGCCATGCAGACAGCCTTATTCTCGGTTTAGACGGCGAACTTTCTCATGCGCCGAACCCGTAATACAACGATTTATAAGTACGACAGATCTAGAAGAGCGGCGTCTAAACTCTAAATTAGTTGCCGAACTTGTGCGGTTGTGCCGTAAGAAATGAAGCGCTTGAAAATGTCGACGTCTGAACCGAGCCTTATTACGGGAGTAATGCTAATGTCTGCATGGCGAATTCGGTATGCGTATCTTAGTAATGCGCGCGATAATGCTCTTTAAAGAAGCGTTCATGCAGTATGTAACACGCATTTCACGCAGTCAAAATCATACAAGGTCTCTATAGCTTGTAATCATGTTTGACATATGTATTGTTGTTAAATATCACAATTTGTATCACTAAATGCCTATAATCCCACGTCCAAGAACATTATAATTACACAAAAATATAAAATACAAAATATAAAACACAAAAATACAAAATATAAAATACAAAATATAAAACACAAAAATACAAAATATAAAACACAAAAATACAAAATATAAAATACAAAAATGTAAAATACAAAAGTAATTTTATGCTGTCGCCTCTGGGCTTCTGTATCATATGAAACGAGTTTCCAAATGTACGTTTTTGAAAATTGACATCTTTCTTATCCCACTTCTGGCAAATACTTGTATTTTTGAGATCAGTGATATGATCACCCATGATACCCAAGCATCCACGATTATTGATGAACTTTATAGACTTCGCTAATGCTTAAATTAATTAACTTGAACCATGGTTATGATTGACTTTTTTAATTAGGTGAATGGTAATATCAATGACATTCAAAGGCATAGCCATCCAAGTTGAATGGTTATGGATAATATTCAAAGGCGTAACCTTCCAAGTTGAATATGCCGATATTATTATATACACAAGGTATGGATAGGAAGTATTCTGCAATCTGATTGGTTCCCCTACTAGCAGGATATTAGCTCATAGCTAGTAGAGAAAAACAAAATGGCGACTCAAACTGAATTTCCGACGTTTTGCGAATGAGAAACGTAACGGCAAGTTGTTCGCTTTTTACAGCCTTTACAGGATTAAAAACACAATAGAAAACTCCCACAAATTGTTTACAGGTTAGCAAATCAATTTATAAAGTTTAAATGGTTAAAAATAGATACTTTTGAAGAATAATCGGCCGAAAGAATAAAAACATAAACAAAATATAGAATAATATTGAAAATATCAGAAAAGCGAAGTCTGCGAATGCAGACCTTGCGTATATAATAAAGCAGTTACTTCACTCACACTCGTTGAATATGAGCGATAGCCGATTCGGCACTACGCGCCTCATCGGCTACCAGCTCATATTCGACTCGAGTTCGTAGAATAACTGTTAAATATTCAAAGGCGTTACTATAGTATATATCCAAGATGGATTTATCCAAGTTGATTTAATGAATGGTTATGCCGATAATATTCACATTGGCATTACCATCCAAGTTGAATGGTAATACCGATAACATTCAAAGTATACAGGGACAACTTTTCAACTCATCAAAGACAAAAGGATTTTTGAATCTTTCTGAATTCAGTGTTTAAAATGGCAGCAAGGAGCCCCGCGCTGATAATATGCCACGGGCATCGCGAAACGTGGGCAGGGCTGCATAAAATACTTAGTTTATTTTCTGGGAGCACAAAGCCAACGAAAATATTTTCTGCACGCAAACACTGGGAATCTTATGTTTAAATTTGATCACTAATCAAAATTCAGTGTATTCTACGCACCATTTCGTTAGATTTGAAACCAAAATAGACGTATTTTACCCTGCTAGCAGTGGTTTCTAGCTGAGCTGAGGAGAAAGCATTGAGAGCAAACAAAAGGTCGTTTCATGTAGCCGCTGTCCAGATTCCTACATTAAATGAAAAACCGGTAAAACAAGTTTGACAAGTTTTTGTTGTTGTGCGCATGGGTAACTCACTAACTGGTTGGCACTGCTGGTAAAATGCGAACCAGTTGTACAAAAACAACACGATCACGCTCTAAATATAGTAACACGCTATAAATATACACCTTTTACAAAATATTATAACTTTACAAAATATCGAATAAAATGTTTGAAATTATACATCAAGATGACTTGAAGATCGCCTACAGTTCAACAGAGTGACTATAAATTCACACACTGCGACAAAAATCAACCTTTTACAGAAATAGTAGCGCCGTCGCAACGATCTTGGATCAGTTGAAATTTGTGGAGGTTGAGGTCGCGACACGTACGATCAAAAATTGTAATTATTGTCAAAATCAACAATTGGAAACGTTATTATATTATTATATTATTTGGAAACTTTGGAAATTGGAATTTATCGACAACCTTAACACAATCTCCAACGTTTATGTAACACAAATAAAGTTTGCAGACCGAATTAAAAAAATTGATATTGATCAATACAAAAATTTAAAAAGATATAACAAAAATTCAAATGCACAATTTGTAGCCGTAGGGTCAGGCACCGATTTCAAAATATTTTAGTACTGACAAAAACAATATTAAAACCGATACATAAATTGCGAACTGCATGGAGAGTAAAAAGTCGTTCGATTAAAACTAACAGACAATAAATAAAACAGTACTATGTCACGCTTGTTTACGTATAGATAACAAACTGTCAAACTACAGGAAATGAAGTCACATCAGTGACGTACGCCCCACTATAGAAAGTCTTTCGTTTGCTCGCATGCAGTGGTTTCTCCTCAGCTCCAAAACCACTGCCAGCAGGGTAGATGTATTTCAACGTGGCTGCGGAATAAATATTCTTTATATTTTAATTTAACAACAAACATTTACATTTTAATGAATGATGAAAGTCACCACTGGGAACTGTCTGCAGTTTAAGATTCTAGATTCTTACACTGATTTGTTATGAATATCATCTTAATTAATGGATAAAAGTTCATGAGAAGGGCAGAAGGCTGTTGTGTATTGGAACATATTGCTCAGATTTTTTACTACATTGAACTAGAAATCACCACACTCGTGTAGACTTTTTAATCCACATACTGTAGTTGTTAAATGAGTTGTATTCATATATAACTGGCGTGGTATTTTCAGAAGTAGCTAATACACTAGATAAAATCAATTATCACAACCGCATAGAGGATTTCGTCTTAATATCTGCTAGACTGCTGTCTGCCTGTTTTTGACCATAATGTCAGGCCGCTGGAGTGCCGCCTGTAACGGTATATTAGAAACTTGTATTACTTGCATGTTGCAAACATCACTAGTTCACTACCTACAGCTTATTATTCATTTATGTCATTTTTTTCTCATTTTCTTCCTTTCTGTTTTTCCTTTCTTTCATTCTTTCTCATTACTTTTTTTTTCTTTTGAGACTTTTACCCTCCATTTTTTTCTGTCAACCTCAAAAATTTTCTGGGACCAATGGTCCGGCGGTCCGCTATATTATGCAGCCCTGAACGTGGGTGAAGACCTACCTAGAATGTTCATGTTTTGTGATTGGCTTTCAGAAACAAAAACGATCATTGTTCGTTACTCGTTCTTCAGAAAGACATACATTTAGAAAGACATATTTATTATATGCATGGCTTTTCAAAATCCTCTATTCTGATTGGTTGACAAGCGGTCCGTAAAAACCCATATCCGGACCGTGATCTGTATTTTCCGTATCTGGACGGGTGTCCCGGATGTCGTTTATCTGGCGGGGAATTTTTGCTTTGCAAACAGAAAAATTTTTTGCTTTTTAATTTTCCAATTGTGTGTCATTACAATTTACAGATAAAAATTTCAAACAACCAAATTGTTTCTGATTGAGCATGTGATGCATGCATACCGTATATATTGTTACCCAGTGAAAACTGACGGTAGCCGATTTAATTCGCGCGAAAAGCATATGCTCACAGACTCAGTTCAGCCATATATAATAAACCGATTATTGACCTCGCTTGTTCGGTCTGTACTGTGAAACATCAGACCTCTGTTTTTTGCATGGACCTCGTTCCTTCGTCGCTCGGTCCATACTAAAAAACCTCGGTCTGCATGATATTTCACAGTACAAACCTCATGCCCGGTCAATAACCCTTTAATAATTGTCTTTCGTTGTTATAATCAACCCACCACGAGGCTGGATAGTATAGGTAGATGATGACCCGAAGTGGTTATCCGGTCCTGCGTTGCGGTTTTCCTGGCCTTGCACGCATGTACAATTATGCAACTTGCACGAAGAGCATTATGCAATTAATTAAGGAAACGTTAAATAAATTGAATTAAATAGTTTGAATTTTTGTTAAATGAATTGAATTAAATAAATTAAACGCTTAGCCTATGGCATAGGCTAAGCGTTTAATTAATTAAAAGATGCCAAAAATCACAAGGCGGGCAATTTAAATTAATTATTTTCAAGCTGTATGATTTGAAATGATTTCATTTCAAAGTTATACAATTTATCGGCAAAAAGCAATAATGTAATATGAGCTAGAAGCTGTCTTCAATTGATTTTGCAATCAGTTTCGAAACTTATCAGCCGACGTAAAGTAATCAAAACGAGGGTGAACTAATAAATTAAAAATATGCTGCGGCGTAGTGTCAGGAAGAAAATTCTCAAAAGTTTTAAAGCCCATCTTATTGAAATATTGATGAAAACTCTGGAGCATATACATGCATGTTTACGCCACACAGACGTTGTCCATCATCATCGATTACTTTATTTAAAAAAGGGGACGAGCTAACTAAAGCTATTTAACACGAATCCTGTCTTTACTTCTGAATAGTACTGAGTTTAATTGCAATAAGTTATTCATTAAGATTCGCAAGATCTTGATTAAGGTTCTAATCGATATCATCAGTGAACATTATTGCTTGTGCGTTAAATGAGTATCGTCTGCAGCCTACGGCTACTGTAGTACAGCATATGTATATGCGTGGCTGGGAATACTCGAGGCAGTTAGGTAAGTTATTTATATGGGAAAAAATAGCAGTGGCCCTAAAATAGTCCGCCATATAAGCGTTTCTGTTCATGAAAGAAAATCATTCGCAATGCATTTTTGACTACGCCACTTGAGTAAGATTTAAAACAACTATCCGCAAGATTGCCAATAATCAATATACTGTGCGCATTTAATTTCCGTAACAGAATTTCATTATCAAAGGCACTTTTTTGAGGACTTAGGTCCATGAAACTACAGCGTTAACCTTTCTGCAATCAATATTTTACGTCCTTAGTCCTTAGTCGCTTCAGGACGTGAGATGACTGTAGAATGAAGGCTTAACAATTGAGAAGTGGTTTGTTAAAGTGCCTATATGACACGAAATTTCACCCCAAAGGTTTCAGGGTTGCATTGTAAAGATCACTTAAAATAACTTAATAATTTCTTTTATAGAATTTTGGTGACTTGCTCCTTTTCAAGATATTCAACTTAAAATATCACCGGCGTGACATCACATGACATAATGGTTTTCAGAAAAGTATAGTTTTCTTGACGAATACGTATCTAAAAAATAGGTACGCAGCGCGTACATGTGACTATCGCTGTTTGGATAACTACGGAGATTGTGTTTTTAATTCAATTTGAAGAAATACAAAGACGATTCCTTATAAACGCTATAAACGCGAAAAATGTATGGAATTTCGTAAGAGTAAAGAACATTAAAATACGCCTATATAGGAAATACTGGGTTTTTTCCAAATTGTATAATACAAAAGTAATTTGATTCGAAAGTATTTTTTCAATGCAATATTTTTATAGGGTTACTCCTGTCCAATGGCAAAACCAGATGTCCTGCTTGCCCTGCTGAGCATGACATACAAAATTTCAGATAATGAATTTTTACGCATATAATTTTTAAAAGAAAAAACTTTTATCCATGCAGCTTGATATATGTTCTTATATTTTCTTAACTTCAGCACGTTGCGCAAAAATTCTTAAACAGAGTAATTCATTATATAAGTTAACGTTATTTAACTTATTTTGAATGAATATCGAGCCTTTGCCTGCATGCAGGCAAAAGCAGGAAAAATGGGTGGCTTGCCCGAAGTTTAGTCCTGCTCAACTCAGGCGAGCAGGACAAACGTAAAATTCTAACGCATTTCATTGGCTAAAACAGCTCTCAAGAATGCAAAACACGCAAAAATATGCCTTTTACTCCTGCTCGAGCTTCGACGCATGATAAACTTTCGAATATTCTTCTGACTGATTATTCATCTTCCAGTGGCGAAATAGATTTATGAATATGTAAATTATCCGATTCAACCAAGCGTGTGTGAAAGTACACGAGATGTTATTTTGGATCTCTTACAAAGATCTTTTAGTTCCAGTAGCAAATCTTTGAGAATCTACGCAATATATACAGTAGATTGATGTTATGCATTAAGGGCATTCAATCAAGTACAGAGCTACGATGGAGTGAGACAGTATATAAATATTTCAAACATGAATATTGAGGAAATCTTTGAGATTCTACGCAATATATAAATTGATGTTATGTATTACTGCATTATTTAGACCGTATATTCATTATACATCGACTGTATAAGGTGCTACACCACAGATTTACGCGCACCGCCACGGACTTTGTTTACATGTCTAGCACTGTAGCACAACGCCAACGGCGCAAACTTATGTTCAGTGCAACGAGAACTCTATCAGATCTTGCGAGAATCTATCTGTATCAAAGCTTGTCAAAACTGCTATAAACACTGCTATAACTGTGAAAATATTGAAATCTAAAGTGATATTTTTGAATACATGCGAACATTGGGAATAAATCAAAGGTCAATGAGACTTGTTTTTGTGAAATATGTCACACCTAGGTTAAAATGCGGAAGCGGACGAAGCGGATATGGAACGGATATGGAGATAAAATGCGGAACGGATGGGGATAAAATGTGTCTTTTAATGAATGAGTTTTTTTCGCCTCGTTTTTTACGCTCCGAATGCAAATGAAGTTTTAGAATATGCAAAATTTGGTTGTTGGTCATTTTTGGCAAAAATATGGTAAATTTGCGAAGATTTGCCCCTTCTTAAGGTCATATTGGAGCTTAGAATTCAATGCTCAAATCACTTTAAATGGCATTTCCGGGTTTCTAATTTTGAAAATTTTCCGGGGGGCATGCCCCCATACCCCCCTAGAAAGCCTCGCGCCTTCGCCGCTCGAAGCATGATAAACAACTTTTGGCTGGCTTCGCCACTGGGTTACTCACAGACTAAGTTCCAAACAAAAATAATCTATTACAGGTATCATTTTTGTTTTATTATCTAAATGTTACCCAAATGACTTTATGATCACTAAAATATGTTTCTGCGGTTCCTGAATTAAGAATTTGAAACGTTTTTGAGAAGATAAGATCAATAATAGTTTTATTATCTGTGGTGAACGTCGTAATTAATTGTGCGTAATTGTTGTCTCTCACCATTACATTGGACAAAGTTTTCTTTTATCTCTTTCATTTAGCCAGTTAATATTGAAATCACCAATTATTACACGTTCATTCCCAGAAATTTCAAGTAAAATCTCTGTCAATGCGACACAGAGATGACGAACAGAAATTTGAGGTGAACGATAGATCGTAACAATTGTTAAATCTGGATGACTTAACGCTTTAAATATTGTAAATTCTATGCCGTTGATCATGATGTTATGAGCATAAAGATATCCAGGAAGGAACGGTATCTTGCTGTATATTGCTGTACCATAATAATCAATAATAAGGTCGAACATTACTTGTACCAGCTAAACGACTGCCATGAGAGTCGTTAGGAAAAAGATATTCAAAACCGTCAATGTTGTATATTTCATTTGACTCTGTAGTTAAAGCATGTCTCGGTAAACATAGCAATAAACACAATGTAGACTTTGACGAATTTCAGCTAATTATCTTTTGTCTTTAACGCATCAACACGGCAGTAGCGCGACGTTTGAAACGGGCCTGATTTCCATGTTGTAATCCGTCATATATCACTATGTCTATGTGCAATGGAGAGAATAATGATCCAAACAATAAAGCATTTTACTCGAAAATTACCCGACACAATGGTGCAAAGTATTACCGATATTAATATAAATTCCTGACATAAAATTCCGAAGAACAAAACATGTTTGAGCTATTTTCTGTTTTGCATGATCTCACTCAGTTTCAGTTATATGAACCCCTCTACGCTAGTCAGGCTGTATAAACAGCTGGGATAATCCTTGTTAAGAATAGATTTTCTTCGCATCGGAAATGATATGAATTAGCTTTAATTGAGACAACTTTATAGAACTAATGTTTCGGAATATTACTTTCAAAGTTTAAGCTGCGGCCAGTATATTTTGATATCAATAGCTTAGCTAACGACTACGATCGTTATTATAACGAAAGAATGGAAATACTCTGTGTCTAACAGATAAACGAGGATGATTTACCATATCACTTACAATTTGTTAAATAGTACAATTGTACGAATATGTTTTAAAACCAGACAATCAACCCGCCAGGCTCTTATAAGTCTCAGTGTCCTCACTGCCCTAAACAGAATACTCGGCAAATATATTCAACTGTTTTGAAAACATTGCCAGACAACACGGAGTCTGCTAAAAACTAAAATATTCAGGATATATGACGACAACTGCCAAATATGACGTGTTTACCAATTGTGACGTGCTTCCGAGTATGACGTATTAAGGTCCAAAACAATCAAGCATGCAAGCAAGCAAGCAAGCAAGCAGGCAAGCAATCAAACGACGCCATGACATAGTGTGGCTATCGCTCACGCGATAGTCACAAAAACTTTAAAATTGCCTTTGTATATGTATATATTAATTTCATGACTGGTAATTAACCCTCTGTATTTGTTTGTAAAAATATTTTATCAAGGTAAAATATTGTGTTTTCAAAATGTCACTGATTATGCGATGTGATGTCACACCGGTGATATTTGCATATGAAACAAAGTTGAATATCTTACAAAGGAAGCAAGTTACCAAAATTCTATAAACGAAATTATTAAGTCGTTTTAAGTGATCTTTACAATACAATCATAAACATTTGGGGTGAAATTTCGTGTCATAGGCACTTTAAGAAAACATTAACTTGGTCATAAATTTTCGAAGGGTGTGCATGACCTAAGTTCCTATCATGCACACTTTCTATGCATTGGAGCATACATATATTATCCAAATTCTGCCAACGGGGGTGCGTTAATTGGAACTATATTTAACAGTTATTCTACGAACTCGAGTCGAATACGAGCTGATAGAAGATGAGGCGCGTAACGCCGAATCGGCTATCGCTCATAAAGGGCTTTAAAGGGCTTTAAAATAGGCCATCTTAACATAGCTAGCTTGCCAAAACACTTAGACGAACTAACTATAGTTATCAAGGAACTATCTTTTGATGTAATTACAATTAACGAAACAAGGCTAGATGAAAGTTTCAATGACCGAGATGTCAGGATAAGTGGATATGACATAATACGCCGTGATAGAAATAGGCACGGCGGAGGAGTTGCCATTTACATCAGAAATAATATTCCTTATATCCAGCGACACGATTTACTCGTCCAAGACTTAGAGTCAATTTGTGTTGAGATTAAAAAACCTAAAAGTAAACCTTTTCTGATATCTGCATGGTATCGACCACCAAACTCCCCTATTGAACTCTTTGAAAAATTTGAAAATAATCTGCATTTAATGGAGAATGAAAACAAAGACTTAGTTATCACCGGCGACTTTAACTGTGATTTACTTTCAACAAACAAAGAC